GCAATGAACAGATACCAAAAAAGAAAATCATAGCAGAGCAAAATCGACGAAGTGTATTGTCCACCTTTGCTCCAAGTTTCCTGCGTCATTTTTCCATGGTGTGTCTGCTCCCCGCTTGGTCTTGCTGTTTGGTCTTACCTGAGTTGCTGGCTTTGGGCCACCTAGCCTGGAAGATTCAAAAGTATATGATTTCTTACTTTCGCTACAAGTTCCCCTAGCTATAAGCCTTTGAACTTTTTAAATATTCCTACCTATGTGATTCTGAGTTTTGGAGCTCTGCCCTGAATCTGCTTTGCCTGGTATTCTGTGGTATTGCTGATGGGGAATCTCACTGCACCTCCTCCCTAGCCAACATCAAGCCCTGCCCCTTTAAAAGTTTTGAACTGAAAAATATTTGTTGTTGGTATTACTGGATTCATAAGATTTGTCCTTAAATGTGAAGCAGAGATTTTAAAGCTTACCAGAAACTCCTAATGGCCACCAATCTTTTCTCAGGAACATGTATTGGGGCTCAGTGGTCCTGTATATCTGTATTCAGAAACAATTTAAGGTAAAAGTTTCACCATTCAACAAGATATGTCCATGACTCAGATCCAAGCTCCTGTCTTTGAATTATATTCTACGCACATCCTGAAATCACAGGCTGTTTTTTATTATTTTTAAGTGACTTCCAATCAATTCTAACTAATAGCCACCCTGTATAGGATTTCCAAGGAACAGATGGTGGATTTGAACCACCAACTTTTCAGATAGCAGTCCAGAGCTTATACAATAGTGCTACAACAGGACACCCAATTATAAATTTGTTGTTGTTGTTAAGTGACTTCAAGTAAGTTCCCACTCATAATGACCCTATATAGGGTTATGGAGGCTGTAAATCTTTGCAGGAGTACAAACCCTCATCTTGCTCCCAAGGAGCATATGGTGGACATGAACCACTTGAACTGCCAACTTTGTAGTTCACAATTCAGTGCTTATCCCACATTGCCACCAAGCTCCCAGTTATATACTATTGTTGTTGTTAAGTGCATAGAGTTGCTTCTGTATAGAGTTTTTGAGGAGTGGCTAGTGGATTTTAATCAAAAACCTTGTGGTTAGTAATCCAGTGCTTATCTTACAGTACCATAAAAGAAATCCAATCATAGACTCATTGTTAAATGTTATTGAGTTGGTTCTGACTCATAGAGACCCTATAAAGGGTTTACAAAAAGGAGCTGGTAGGTTTGAACCTCCAACCTTGTGTTTTGCAGTCCAATGCTTATCTTATTGTGACATACAATGAATAATTCCAGTTATATATTAACACCTAGTTATTTTCCATGTGTTTGCAGGACCTTGAACTTCCATGAATTCTTTACAGAATTGGATTAGTGGTAGCTGTTTGAAAAGTTACACCACATCAATTTCCTGTTTGGGCTGAGGAAAAGCCAATTAAGAGCTATGAGAATCAGGAAACTTACCAGCAAGTGGCTAGGACTTGGACGCAAAGGTGAGATTTAGGCAGTAATGGAGGTGGCATGCAATAAGCTCAGTTTCACTGATGTATAGCTGCATCTATTTATTCTTTTCTACCGAGTCCAGTGCTATCTCTCAGATGTTTTCTTGACAATTCAGAAACCTTTGGAGATGCTAACAGCAATAGCTGTAATCACAGGAAATAATAGCCCTGCAGGTGAACCCTCAAAGAGAATGGAGTTAAGAGTAGTTCAACCCTCTATTAAATTCAAAAATTAAACATTTGTGGAGTAAACATCTTGTCTCCCTTACTACCTCTGGCAGAATTATGTTATTTGCCTCCATATCCCAGATTTCCAAGGAACATGTGAAAAGTACCACAGCACTTTATCAATTTGTAACACCAATTCTTCTGACTCAGAATAGACTCGTTGGCAATGGGTTATGCCTTAAGGTAACTGGCTCTTCTGCTAGATTAAACTTTAAAGTTACAGGTTTTTCCTTTTACAAAGAAGGTTTTGAAAATTTAATTGCAATCTAGCACCTTCCAGATTCTAATGCACTTCAGCTCCATCTCCTCTCTAGAGCCTGCCCAAAGTGTCCTTCAGCTTCTGAGAGACAGTGGCTGTCTCAGCAGATCGTGACTCTGACTCAGGCCACAGATTCCAGGTTAGTTAAGCAAAGTCTTTCTAAGCAGACTCCATGCTCTTATTCTCTCTAGAAGAGACTGACCCACTCTATAGGTCTCATTGTGGAGTTTTTGAGTGAAGGAAGAGTGAGGGAGATCTCTGCAGGTTTTAGTTAACCCAAGTTTGGGGAAAAAGCACAGGCAATGCACTTCTGGAACTTGGAAATGGCTGTATAAGACTGTTGTTGTTAAGTACCGTCAAGTGAATTCCAATCCATAGCAACTCTGTATTGGGTTTCTGAGGAGTGGCTGTATAGCCTTGGGAACCCTATAGGGCAGTCTACGTTGTCTTATAGTATCCCCACAAGCCAGAATCAACTCAATGGCATGGGGTTTTTAGGTTTAGTCATTTGCAAAGGCTCTCTTAGAACCTGTCCTTCTTCATTGCTGTTAAGTGCTGTTGAGTCTGTATAGGGTTTCCAAGGAGTGGCTGGTGAGTTTGAACTGCCAATCTTGTGGTTCAAACCAACATTACGGTTCAGTGCTTAGCTTAATTGGAGAAATGGATTATGACTCAAACCTTGCCTGTAATGTCATATTTGAAAATGGTGCTCATTGTTTGATCATAGTGCTCATTGTACACTCCATGTTGTTCATCAAGTGTGACGAACCTCTTTTTACAAACTAAGGTTGATTTTGTGGAGTCATTGCTGAAAAAGCCATGCCCTCAGAAAACTAGACCAGTAGCACATTTACAGAGGCCAGTCTTACAGATGGTAAAGAACGTCACCTCTACTGCTGGCTAAAGAACTTGGAATCTTTTGGGATCTCAAGAATGTAAATACATTTTCCAAAATGTGTATTTTCTGCAAGAAAAATACAATGGAGAGCTTCTTGGGCTTCCTAGTTTCTTTATAAACACTGCCAGTTGTCTCAAGGAGATTCCAACTCTAAAGAGCCCAGGTGCTGTACAATAGAACTACTGCATATGGTTTTCATGACTGATATTTCAGAAACAGATGACCAATCCTCTCTTCTGAGGCAGAATTCTAGTTTTTGAGCACTTAACCAACCATTTGCATCACCCAAGGACCCCATACAAATTCTAATTTGAAATTTTCTTATAAAAACACTAAGCTTTGCAAGTTGCAAACTCTTGTATGTTGAATTAACATTCTTGCTGTAACAGTGTAAAAGTACAGCCAAATCTCATAAGGCCAGTCTTATTTTGCGATGAAGAAAAATATTTTATTTGAGGCAAATTTTTTTTTGTTATAAATACATTGTTGTTGTTGTTAAGTGCCATCAAGTTAGTTCCTATTCATAGCAGCCCTGTATACGTTTTCTGAGGAGTGGCTGGTGAATTTGAAACACCGACCTTGTAGACAAGAGGAATAATGTGCATTTCAGTGGAAAGCTATATGTTGTTTAAAATGTACCCTTCTGGGTTATCTGATTATGTTTATATGGGGACTGTTTTTTTGCTTTTGAAGTATTTTATCTGTAGATTAAAGACACTGATAACAGTAAAAAGAGTCTAGTGATACTTTATGATAAAAAATAGACTGCTAATCACAGGTCAATGGTTTGTACCCACCATTTTTTCTATTGCAGAAAGGTGAGGCTTTCTGTGATTGTGAAGTTTTATAGCCTCAGGAACTCTGTACAGACTCAACATGAGTCCAAGTTGACTCGATGTCATCTAACAAAAACAACAATTCCTGTAAAAATTTCATGTTAGTAAGCATGCAAGTAAATTCTGTTTGATGAAGTTTCAATTGACTTTCTTTCTCCACTATTGAAGAGGACATAAAACTGACTTATCTTACATAATTTAGTAGGCTATATTTTAATGTTACAGAAGAAAACATTAAGGCAAACAAATGAATAAAATGCTTACTTAACATTAAAGCAAAGAAAATATTTTCATGTTTTATTTTATTTTTATTGCTACATATATGCAAGTGACATTTACTCATCTCACATTCAGTCTTTTCTGTACAAAGACATATATAAATCAAAATTGTGTTGAAGATGAATTTTTTAAATGAAAAGGAAAATGTCAGTTACTTCCAATCATTACAATCAATACTCACTCAATTGACAAATAAAGATTTGTTAATTCTCAAATGAACACATAACATATTTCTTTAACCATGATGAAAATAGTAAGCATATATTTGTTCCTGAAGCAAAAATTTATTTGGGAATTAAATCATTCCTCATGCCTAAATCCTAAAGTAACCAATTAGCAAGATTTATCCTCCAAATATGGAGTCCTGGTATAGCACTGTGGATAAATAGGCTGGACTGCAAAGTCAGTTTGAACTGCAAGATTGGCGGCTCAAGCTCATCAGCCACTCCCTGGAAACCCTATACAGGGCTGCTGTTGGTCGGAACCAACTCGACAGCACATTAACAACAACAACAACAATCCTCCAACTTTAATAAACATACTCAGATATAATATTGTAAAATAGTTCATATAGGTCGTGGCTCTTTACGCATTTATTCTCCCTGGTTCTGTTATCATATATTAACTTGATTTTGATTATGGTAAACACTTCTGTCAACTTTGCTTTTGACATAGTTTCCCTAAGAACAAATTTCTTATCTGCTGGCTCTTCACACAGTATACAATGGGGTTCATCAATGGAGGCACAAGGAGAAAAACATCAGCCATAAGGATCCTAATGGTAGGGGAACTATGTTTGGCAAATCGGTAGATGACTGCTAGAGAAACAATGGGCACATAGAAGATGAGCACAGCACAAATGTGGGAAACACAAGTATTGAGGACCTTGAGTCTTTCTCTCTGTGATGCTAAGTTCAACACTGTTTTCAGTATCAGTATGTAGGACATGAAAATAAATGTTAAGTCAAGGATTCCTGTGAAAGCTACAAATAAGCCATAGATGACATTGACCTTATTGTCAGAGCAAGCCAGCTTCATGACATCTTGATGGAGGCAATAGGAATGGGATAGGAGATTCTTCTTACAATATCTTAGATGCTTTAGAGTGAAAGGGAAAGGGAGGATCAACAACAAATTTTTGAGAGAGAAAGCAAACCCAATTTTGGTGACTCTGGCACTGGTAAGGATAGTGGCATATCTCAGAGGGTTGTAGATGGCAATAAAACGGTCAAAGGACATGATGAGAAGAACAGATGATTCCATAGCAGAGAAGCCATGAATAAAGAATTCTTGGGCAATACAAGCATCAGGGGAAATTCTTGGGGCATTGAACAAGAAAATCCTTAGCATAGTAGGAAGAGAGGAGAGAGACAGACCAAGGTCAGAAATTGCCAGCATGGAAAGAAAATAGTACATGGGTTCATGCAGAGAAGGTTCTGTTTTTATGAAGAAGAGGATGATACAGTTCCCCAAGATGGCAACCAGGTACATGAAGCATATGGGAATGGAGAACCAAATATGGAGTGATTCCATCCCTGGGAAGCCAATCAAAAAGAAGATAGAGATTTCAATTTCAGAGGTGTTGAAGAAAGACATTTCAGGTATGTAAGAACATCAGGATGAGTAGCTTAACATAGATGCAAATAAGTTGGTGTGAATGCCTTATTTAGTTCCACTGAAATCATTGCAGTCTTAAGAATCCCAACATTCTAGTTGTACTTTATAGAAGTAAAGCTAAATGTAGAAAAATAGATAAGTAGATCCAACTAAAACAAATATGGAGAGAAAAGGAAAACAATTAGTATCCAAATCACATCTTATGACATATGTAAGTTATAAACAGATAATAGATACAAGACTGATAATAGGTCAAATAAGACACTGGTACCTGTTTCACAATTTAAAAACCTGATACTTTTCCTTTTTTATGTAAATACTGGACTCCTGGTGTGGTGTTGTAGGATCAGGACTGGACTGTAAACCACAACATTGACAGCTCAAACTCACCTATATATAAAAAAACCTAATAAAGGGTTGTTATGTATCGGGTCTCCATGTATAGGGAACCTACTCGATGGCACAAACAACAATAATTGGAAGATATCCTGCACTAAGAATTTAATATTCTAGTGAGTATACAAAAAATGTGAAGAAATATATCATTTTCTCTCTAGAGAATTTCACATCTTTTGTAAGATTTTCTTTTACAATCCTTATGATGTTGTTTCTGTTTATAGAATTATTTATTCTCTATTATATTTATTAAATGATTACTAATTACGTAGAGGAACACTATAGATATTTCTGGTTGGAATCAGCTTTCAGTCTTCTATGTTTACTCTTCTCTGTTACATCCTTCCTTCCCATTCTAGATCCCTAAATCTCCCTTTGCCTACTCTTCTATATAAGGAGTCCTATTAACACTGTGATTATTTTCACTGGATTGTTAACTCAAGGGTCAATAGTTCAAAACCATCAGCTTTCTTATGGGATAAAGGTATGCTGTCTTCTCCAGTAAAGGTTTAACTCTTGAAAACGCTAAAGAGAAGCTCTGGTCTATCCTATAGTTTCGTTATGTGCCAAATTTAACTTAATGACAGTAGATTTGCATTTGCTTTTTGATGGTACAATGGGTAAAATACTGTCTTACTAATTAGAATGTTAGTGTTTTGAACTTACCAGATGCTGAAAGAAGAAAGATGTGGCAGTCAGCTTCCATAAAGGTTGCATGCTTACAAACCCTATGGGTACTTCTTCCCTGTCTTATAAGATCATGTGTCAGGATGGACTCTAGGATAAGTTTGGTTGGTTTTGTGGGGTTTTTTTCCCTTCCTTTTATTGGCATCACTATATAGAGATCATTTAATCAACATTTCTTCATTGACTGCTACTGTGCATCAATTTCTTGCTTGCGCCCTTATGGTCTATTATTCTTTTTAGTTAAGACTTTATTTTGCTCTGCTAGTCTATAAGTTTGCATTTCAAAATGTAGTATTTAATCAGGTTTTTTTTTTTTTTAACACTCTGTATTGCTAACCTAAAAAGTTATTTTGTCAACTTTGGATACTATTAGTCATTATACTGTGCCATATGGACTATCTTGCATACTGTCTGGAAAATGTTGAAGTTCTTCAATGCATTTTTCTAGCTAGATTGCTTCATTCTGTATTCAAACTCCATTTCTTTGTATGTATTTTGAGTGTATCCCTTTGTATTATCTTATAATTTACTAACTATATTATGCATTTGTGTCTGGTTTCACATTTTTTCTAACTCCTGAGGTAATTATTGGTTATTTTGTTGTTGTTGTTGTTTTAGTCTTCTTCTTCTTTTTTTTTTTAAAGAAGCATGTTTTAAAAACTATGCATTTCAATTTATATTAGGGTCTTAATTTAAATATAAGGAGCTCTGGTAGCACAGTGGTTACGAGTCAGGCTGCTAACCTCAGGGTCATCAGTTCGAAACTACCAGCTGTTCCTTGGGAGAAAGATGAGGCTTTCTGCTCCCATAAAGATTCACAGCCTCAGAAACCCTGTACAGGGTTGCTATGAGTCAGAATTGACTCCACGGCACGTAACAACAACAACAATTTAAGTATGGCTACTTGAAATCTATTTTATGTTGCTTTATTTTTCCTATGCTCATAAGTAAATACTCTTACTGTTGAAAGGGTAGTTTTTGTTGTTGTTTTTCTATTGGTGTTAATGTTACTAGTAGTTTAGAATTGTATTTTTACTCTCATGTTGAATGGAAATGTTCATGCACCATGATTACATGAGGTGTTTGGCTCTTTCCCATTCCCTGATGTTGACCACTCGGCACTAAGGATCTTTTACAGAGTAAGTTGATGCAATTTTGCTAAATTGTTCTTTCAGTTACTCCAATTCCTTGTCTTTTCCTACTAGTGGTAGGTAAACGTGTGCTGTAACAACAACTTTGTCTACCTTCCATTGGAGTAGAATGTCTACTTGTCTCAAACATGATGTCTTAGACTGGCTCCAAGTCAAACACAGACCACTGTTATGTACAACCCTGTGCAGGTGCTGAGGTACAAAAACAAGAATTTCTTGAGACTCAAAGCTAAATCTGTGGATGCATCTCTAACATATGGTAATATGTGTTCTTACATTGTTACTGTTGTTAAGTGTCATTGAGTTGCTTCTGACTCATAGTTTCTCTGTATAGAGTTTCTGAGGAGCAGCTGGTGAGTTTGAACCACTGGCCTTGCAGTTCAAACAGACCTTGGGGTCCAGTGTTTACCCTACAACACCACACAAGAACTCTTTTATTACATTATATCATATCATTCCTATTTCTTTTTATCTGAATAGCATAACAATACCTTTTATAATTTTTACGTTTTATCTATTAATGCTACATATTTGGTATGGAGTTGAGTTGATATATTTGATTTGACTCACTACAACATATTGAATAAAATCCCCAATAAAAACTCAAATCTAATTTTAGAAATATAACCAGTGATGTCTTATGTTCTGTAAATCAATTTGGTTGAGAATTATTTGATCATGCTATCTTTTTTAGGAGGAGTGTGGTGGCACTATAGAATAAGCACTGGACTTTGAACTGCAAGGTCAGTGGTTGAAGTCCACCTGCTGCTCTGCAGGAGAAACATGAAGCTGTCTGGTACTGAAAAGAAACCATATGTGTCATAACTGACTCAAAGGCACTAACAGCATTAACAACATTTTTTTTTTTTTTTTTTTATGACCTGATTTATTAACTTACACTAGAACTAATGACAGGTCTCATCATGAATCTTGTTGTGAGGGATTTGACTTGAAGTATTTATGACAGTTACTTGGGAAGTAAGCTGGAAATGTAAACCAACAAAACAAAAGAAAATTAAGGCTAAGTATAGATACAGAATATGTGAATTGCTAGAAGATGGAGCCATGATAAAGTACACTGTTTATATGGAATTGGTTAAATTGTGTTGTTATTTGTTTAATTTATTTTGATAATATAATATTAGTAATATTAATAATGAAGCTCATTTCAGGTCTCTTAATAGAATAAAAGTTTATTTGTTTATCAATCAGTTAAAAAAATAGGGATGAGAACATTTTGAATGGCTGTATTACCTAACTACCTAGTTAACATTGTTGTTGTTAAGTACTGTGGAGTTGGTTCTGACTCATAGTGACCCTATGAGTTTCTGAGGCTGCAAATCTTTACAGGAGCAGAAAGACTCATCTTTCTTCCATGAAACAGTTGGTAGTTTTGAACTGCTGACTTTGAGGTTAGCAGCCTAATTCGTAACCACTACGCTACCAGAGCTCCTTATGTAACATTATCAACCTCTATTTTCCCTGAAAATAAACTGGTATCTTTGTGTTTATAAAATTCAGCATGTCTAGTTACATATATTTTATTTTGTATCAAGGGCTAGCATTTTTAGGGAGTTTAAAAGAAAACAAAATACTGCATAGAAGATATTCTAGTGTACCTATTCATCATTCATCACGGACATCATTAGTTTCCAGAGACCATGTTTTTATGTCTTTCAGGGACAGACCTACTCATGTAATGTTCTTTATTAATGGAATCCATAATTGGAACATTAGGATATTCAGGTACTTACCAAGGTGAAGAAGACTGGATTTACCCTTCAGATTCAAAAGGAGATAAATCTAAGAAGAAGGCTCCTAATCCCCACTATTATACGCATTGTTGATTTTACTCCTTGTACTCTGATGTCTTTTTAGTGGAACAAAGTCCTATAGGAATGAGAACTCAGAAGTTTGTACCCAAAGGAATAAAAAGCCCATAAGTAAATTCTAAAATGAGATTAGATTCAAGGAGAGTCAAATGAATTCCCATAATGCATAAATTAGCCATTTTTAGAGAAAAATCCTCTGAGGCATCCCTTGTTTCAATAAACTGAATTAATTGCTCTCACCTGAATTCCATTAACTTATATTTCACTCTTCTTCATCCTTTGGAAAATGTAATTTTTTCCATGGCATTATATTTGTGACCGTACAATTTTGTGTTCTAAGGTTATTGAAGGAAAAGCTTTTATAAAATAAGGAAATGGTATTAATTTGAAAGATTATTTAAATTTTCTATTTAAAATAAATAAATAAAACTAACACGTTTAAGATGAAAAATGAACGCCCATTATTTTCTTAGTCAGTCATGACCAAACATAATCTCCATTGACTGCTTGCAATAGTTCATTGTATACTTCTCTCTTTCTCTCTCTCTCATATAATTATTAAGTGCCAAAGAGTTGGAAACAATTCAACTGCGCTTAGCATAAAGGTGTATTGTTGTTGTTAAGTGCTGTGGAGTGGGTTCCAAGTCATAGTGACCATGAATAGGGTTTCCTAGGCTTTTTAAATCTTTGCAGGAGCAGAAAAGTCTCATCTTTCTCCCATGGAATGGCTGGTGGACCTTGTGATTCACAGTACAATACTTAGCTTATGGAGCCGCCACACTCCATGTAAAAGAGTGTATATATTTGTATATTTAAATATTTCTATTCATATTCATATTTACATACCTTTATACTGTTAAGTATGTATTGTTGTTTGTAAGTGCTGTTGAGTCAGTCCCAACTCACAGTGACT